TCAGATCCCACAACGGTTTAAAAACATGTGACCGCGGCGAGCCAACTTGGATAGGTCCTTTTATATATATATATATATATATAATATAATATATTATATATATATATATATTTTATAAAATATATATATATATAAAAACACGGCCGATTCCCCCAAAGGGCGGTGTGGCCCCAAAAAGAAAAACTTTCCCCTTTCATTCACTCCATCACTGTCTTGCCAGAAGGGTGCTTTACACTACAGTTTTTAAACTGCAACATTAACACCCCTCCTTCAGAGTGCAGGCACTGTACTTCCATCTCCAGGACTCAAGCCCGGGCCCCTGCCGTTTCCCTGAACCCCTTCATAAAGGTTACTTTGCTCACACTCCAACGCACGTCAAGTATTAAAAACCATTCGTCTCCATTCACTCCTATCAAACACGCTCACGCATGCCCGCTGGAAGTCCAAGCCCCACTCAACAAAACCCCCCTTTACCCCCTCCCTCCAACCTATCTAGGCCGACCCCTACCCCGCCTTCCTTCCACTACAGACCTGATACCTCTTGAAGTCATTCTGTTTCGCTCCATTGTCTCTACATGTCCGAACCACCTCAACAACCCTTCCTCACCCTCTGGACAATAGTTTTGGTAATCCCGAACCTCCTCCTAACTTCCAAACTACGAATTCACTGCATTATTTTCACACCACACATTGCCCTCAGACATACATCTCCACTGCCTCCAGCCTTCTCCTCGCTGCAACATTAAATCACCCATGCTTCACACCCATATAAGAGAGTTGGTAAAACTTACTCTCATACATTCCACTCTTTGCCTCCAAGGACAAAGTCCTTTGTCTCCACAGACTCCTAAGTGCACCACTCCCCTTTCCCCTCATCAATTCTATGATTCACCTCATCTTTCATAGACCCATCCGCTGACACGTCCACTCCCAAATATCTGATACGTTCACCTCCTCCATACTCTCTCCTCCAATCTGATATTCAATCTTTCATCACCTAATGTTTTTGTTATCCTCATAACCCTTACTCTTTCCCCGTATTCACTTTCAATTTTCTTCTTTTACATACCCTACCAAATTCATCCACCAATTTTGTGCAACTTCTCTTCAGAATCACCCAAGAGCACAGTGTCATCAGCAAAGAGCAGCTGTGACAACCCCACTTTATGTGTGATTTTTTATCTTTAACTCCACACCTTTTGCCAATACCCTCGCTTTTCTTCTTTTACAACCCCATCAATAAATATATTGAACTACCACGGGAACATCACACATCCTTTCTAAGGCCTACTTTTAAGGGGAAATAATCTCCTCTTTCCTACATACTCTAACTTGAGCCTCACTATCCTCGTAAAAACCTTCACGTTTTTTCAAAAACCCTACCTCCTTACCATACATCGCAACATCTGCCACATTGCCCCCCTATCCCCTGTCATCCCTTTTTTCCAAATCCATAAATGCCAAAAAAACCTCTTTACCTTATCTAAATACTGTTCCCCTTATATGTTTTACTGAAACACCGGGCCCCCACCCCCCTACCTTTCCTAAAGCCCCCTTTTTCATCGCAAAACCATTCTCCGCTTATCTAATTCTTTAAAATAAAAACTTTCTATTCATTTACCGGGTATACTCAACAACTTATCCCCCTAAAAATTTTTGCACCCCTTTTGTCCCTTTTTCCTTTATACAAAAACTATTATCCTCTCTCCCCAATCCCTAGTCCCTTTCCCCCTCTTCCATACATTTATTAAATAATTGCACCAACCACTCCAAACTATATCCCCACCTGCTTTAACATTTCTACCTTCATCCCATCAATCCCGCTGCCTTACCCCCTTTCATTTTCCCCTATTGTTCGTCCCGTCCGTGCCAAATTTTAAAAAACGGGCCCTGGTGCTAAGCTCCCGTTTTCACAACGGAGGGCCCGGTTCGATTCCCGCTGGTGAAATTCCACACGTTTCCTTACCCTTTGCCCTTTTTTCACCTACAAAAATAGGTACCTGGGTTTATCACGGTGTGGGCCCGCATCCTGGGGGACAAGATTAAGGCCCCAAAGGAAATAAGTTAGACAGTCCTCGGACGCACCCGACTTTCTTGGGTTATCCCGGGTGGCTAACCCTCCGGGGGTTAAAAACCCAACAAAATCTTATCTTATCTTATCTTATTTATCTTAACTCATTTAAAATTAAGTCCTTTCTAAAATTTTTCTTAAACGTTTTTTAAAATATATTTTTTTTTTATTAATAGATGTAAAATTTTTTAATTTTGCACCATAAAAACTAGAAAATTTACCTAACCTTATATAACAAACGAAATTTATTTTAGCCTAATCAACTAAATTTTATTTTAGATTTGTTTTTCAATAAAATTTTTAAAACTAAACAAACACAGTGAAAAAGTTTTTTTTCGTTAGGTTCAGAATGAATTTTTCGAAATTATTGCGTACACAGATTTTCGCTTGTCCCATATGGCAAGATGAGTGTTTTCTAAGCCCGATCGCAAATTCTGCCTATTTGGCACAACATATATAATATATATATATTTAAAAATATATATTAAATATAAATATATATATTTATATATATTTTAATAAAAATATATATGTATATCAATATTTTATAAATATGTAAATTTTAAATATATGACATAGGGGGACCACCTCTGGAAATGTGCTTGGGACCCTCATCCTAAGAGGAAAGAATAAACTTCAGGAAAAACTCAAGGTTCTCCCCAGAGCTATTTGAATATGGTCTTCTACCACCCCGTATATTGTATTTTCTATGTAGTCTTTATTTAAAGTCAAAATACATTGACAAAAATACAATAGGGAGTAGAACAACATCGATAACATGTCAGAGCTATATCTCGAATGTTTCGTCCAGCTCCCAGGCTGTGGGTCGTGCGCCCAGAATGCTGCAGGAATTTTCTCTCTGGGTCGCATCACTGAGTCTCTGAAAGAGGAAGCTGGCCGTGCTCTGTGCTCTAAAATTGCTCTATACTTGGGGTTTCCTTTCAGCTGGGCACAAGCTGTGGTGTGGCTTCTCTTTATGTTGTTGACCTCTTCATGTCTAGGATACTTCCGTTCTGTTGGGTGACACACGAGACCATGAGGTCAGAACTGATCAGCTGTCACCCTGCCACAAATACATTTATATGTTCAGTGAGTATGGGGGCAGCTGGACGAAGAGCAACACCAATCCGAATGCACTGTGGGTCAAGTCGAGTGTGCAGAGAGGAATTGGGAACAGCTGAATGGAAATATCCTGAGTGTGGCGCCTTCACCGCTAGGAGACGAGCTTTGTCCTTTCCTGAAACATTGTTGGTCATTGTGTTGGCAATTTTTTCCATGATCAGTTTGTCCCAGTGGGACTGTTTGCGCTCTTTGGGAGGAGCTGGTCTGCTTAAGGAATCTGCAAGGGTGTCCCACCGCACGGCTGATGTAGGCCCTTGCTGTCACCCTAGCGGTGACACCTACGCTACTCTGAGACCTCTCTCCCTGCTTTGGTTGCTCCCTTGCAACATTGCACAGCTCCTGATGCACTGAGATGTGTGAAAGTACTTGAACTAAGGACTTCCATCCCCCCTCATGGCTTGTCCTGCATATATATAAATAATATATATGTATATATATATATATTATATATATATATATATATATATATATATATATATAATATATAATATATATATAATATATATATATTTATTTATTATTATCACACTGGCCGATTCCCACCAAGGCAGGGTGGCCCGAAAAAGAAAAACTTTCACCATCATTCACTCCATCACTGTCTTGCCAGAAGGGTGCTTTACACTACAGTTTTTAAACTGCAACATTAACACCCCTCCTTCAGAGTGCAGGCTCTGTACTTCCTATTTCCAGGACTCAAGTCCGGCCTGCCGGTTTCCCTGAACCCCTTCATAAATGATACTTTGCTCACACTCCAACAGCACGTCAAGTATTAAAAACCATTCGTCTCCATTCACTCCTATCAAACACGCTCACGCACGCCTGCTGGAAGTCCAAGCCCCTCGCACACAAAACCTCCTTTACCCCCCCCCTCCAACCTTTCCTAGGCCGACCCCTACCCCGCCTTCCTTCCACTACAGACTGATACACTCT